GAAGCTGAACACTTTATGCTTCCATCCCACACCACTGTCAAGTTTTAGCAAATTAGGATAAGTCAGCCCATAAGAACAACCATATGTAACAGTAACTGCTAATGGTAACAATTCACTACCTCTCCCTACTACAGGTAGTAAATTCCTACAGGTAGCAGTTTCATCCCTAGAGTGTGAGAAACTGCTATCTGTAGGAATTAGCTACATCAGATAGCAGTTTTTAGCAAATTAGGACAAGTCAGCAAATAAGAACAACCTTATGTTCTTGGTGGAGGGACTTCAACTAGCCAGACATCTGTTGGGAAAATAACACAGCAGGGCACAGATTATCCAACAAGTTTTTGGAATGTATTGGAGAATTTTTTTTTATTTCAGAAGATGGAGAAAGCTACTAGGGGAAAGGCTGTTCTAGATTTGATTTTGACAAATAGGGAGGAACTGGTTGAGAATTTGAAAGTGGAAGGCAGCTTGGGTAAAAGTGATCATGAAATGATAGAGTTCATGATTCTAGGGAATGGTAGGAGGAAGAACCGCAAAATAAAGACAATGGATTTCAAGAAGGCAGACATTAGCAAACTCAGGGAGTTGGAAGGTAAGATCCCATGGGAAGCAAGTCTAAGGGGAAAAGCAATTGAAGACCATTGGCAGTTTTTCAAAGAGACATTATTAAGGGCACAAGAGCAAAGTATACCACTGTGTAGGAAAGATAAGAAGTATGGCAAGAGACCATCCTGGCTTAACTAGGAGATCTTCAATGATCTAAAACTCAAAAGAGTCCTATAAAAAAAGTGGAAATTAGGTCAAATTACAAAGGATGAATATAAACAAATAACACAAGTATGTAGGGACAAAATTAGAAAGGCCAAGGTACAAAATGAGATCAAACTAGCTAGAGACAAAGGGTAACAACAAAATGTTCTACAAATACATTAGAAGCAAGAGGAAGACCAAGGACAGGGTAGGCCCGTTACTCAATGAAGGGAGAAAGACTATAACAGAAATGTGGAAATGGCAGAAGTGCTTAATGACCTCTTTGTTTCAGTTGCCACCAAGAAGGTTGGTGGCAATTGGACGCCTAACATAGTGAATGCCAGTGAAAATGAGGTAGGACTAGAGGCAAAAATAGGAAAAGAACAAATTAAAAATTACTTAGACAAATTAGATGTCTTCAAGTCACCAAGGCCTGATGATATCTGAGCCATTAGCAATTATCTTTGAAAAGTCATGGAAGATGGGCGAGATTCCAGAAAACTGGAAAAGGGCAAATATAGTGCCAATCTATAAAAAGGGAAATAAGGACAACCTGGGGGATTACAGACCAGTCAGCTTAACTTGTGTACCTGGAAAGATAATGGAGAAAACAATTAAGCAATCAGTTTGCAACCATCTAGAAGAAAATATGGTGATAAGTAACAGCCAGCATGGATTTGTATAGAACAAATCGTGTCAAACCAACCTGATGCCCTGTCAAAGAAAGCTAACAAGCCTTGGGGGGGGGGGGGGGGGGGGAAGTGGTCGACATGGTCTATCTAGCCATTAGTAAAGTTTTTGATATGGTCTCCCATGACCTTCTCATAAACTAGGGAAATGCAACCTAGATGGAGCTATAATAAGGTGGGTGCACAACTGGTTGGAAAACAGTTCCCAGAGAGTACTTATCAGTGGTTCACAGTCAGGCTGGAAGGGCATAACGAGTGGGGTTCTGCAGGGAACAGTTCTGGATATGTTTCTATTCAAAATCTTAATCAATGATTTAGATAATGGCATAGAGAGTACACTTATAAAGTTTGTGGACGATATCAAGCTGGGAGGGGTTGCACGTGCTTTGGATGATAGGATGAAAATTCAAAATGATCTGGACCAACTGGAGAAATGGTCTGAAGTAAATAGGATGAAATTCAATAAGGACAAATGCAAAGGACTCCACTCAGGAAGGAACAATCAGCTGCACACATACAAAAATAGGAAATGACTGCCTAGGAAGGAGTACTGCAGAAAGGGATCTAGGGCTCATAGTGGACCACAGGCTGAATATGAGTGAACAGTGTAACACTGCTGCAAAAAAACTGAACATCATTCTGGGATGTATTAGCAGGAGTGTTGTGAGCAAGACACAAGAAGTAATTCTTCCACTGTACTCTGCGCTGATTAGGCCTCAGCTGGAGTATTGTGTCCAGTTCTGGGCACCGCATTTCAAGAAAGATGTGGAGAAATTGGAGAAAGTCCAGAGACGAGCAAAAAAGTAAAGGTTTAGAAAACATGACCTATGAGGGAAAATTGAAACATAATAGTTTTCAAGTATGTAAAAGGTTGTTACAAGGAAGAGGGAGAAGAATTGTTCTCTTTAACTTCTGAGGATAGGACAAGAAGAAATGGGCTTAAATTGCAGCAAGGGAGGTTTAGGTTGTTACACCAAGTAGCAGTTCTTTACAACAGCAGTTTTACACAATCTATATGTATCAATAACTGCTACAGATAGCACATTTCTACACATAGCAATTTCACACATACTATTGTGCAAGAAACTGCTACCTGTAGGCATTTGCTACATCAGGTAACAGTTTTATACAATAGCAGTTTCTTACAATCCCTTGATGTGCCCCTGTTGAGAATGTGCTTGGCGCCACTGTAAACCCGGTACTGGTGCTGTGGCATATTATCCTTTAAGAGGGGAAATAAAAAAGCCCCTCTGCCCCCACACACCCTATTTTTGCAAACACAGCAGGTGGCTCATCCCATCAGGGTAACTGTTACCCCCATGCTAGGGTTTTGCCCTTTGCCACCATCTGGGACCCTGGACTTAAATCCTGTCTCCTTCCCCACTCCCTCAACTCAGCCCCTCTCCTGCCTCCAGCTGTTTGACACCCCCCCCGCTCAGACTTGCTCAACCCACCCCTGATTTGCCCCCTTTTAACCCCTGTGAACAGCAGGCAGCAGATTCTAATCCAAGTGAGGGCAGCGGCTTCAGCAGATGTTACTGAGCCTGCAGCTCTCTGCTGTTTCCTTTCGCCCACCCCCTTGCAACAGATCAGGAACTAACCAGCAGCACTAAGCTTACAGGAAGGGCTGGGGCCAGCTCCAATTCTCGACAAACACATTGCAGAGGAAGTGAAAGTGAAAGTGAAGTCTGATCGTCTTTTTTGCAGCAGCCATGTTAGCTGCGAACTGGGGGGAAGAGCTCCGGGATGAGCTGGTTTGTTCTATCTGCCTGGACTCCTTTAAAGACCCAGTGATTCTAGACTGTGGGCACAGTTACTGCCAAGCCTGTATCACCAAGTGCTGGGGGGCGTCGGGCACAGGCCTTTGCCCCCAGTGCAGGAAACCTCTCCCCAAGCGGGAGCTGAGGCCTAACAAGTCGCTGGAGGAGGCGGTGAACATAGCGAGAGGCCTAGATGAAGAATGCGAGAAACATGAAGAAGTTTTGAAGTTCTTCTGCAAAGAGGACCGGACCCTCGTCTGCAGGGTTTGCAGAGAGTCTCGAGAACACAGAGCTCACACAGTCATCCCCATCGAGGCAGCTGCAGAGGAGTTTAAGGTAGGACATTTGCGTAGAAATCCGAGACGGGGCTAGATTGATTTGGACACAACTCCCCCCTGCTTTTGCACTTGGCTTATTAGCAATTTACATAGGAACAGACTGGGTGAAAATGCTACTGGATCAGAATAGTAGCATTTAATATCCCTTTGTCACAGGTGTATGTGACTATGCGAAGTGTGTGTGTGTTGGGGGGGGGGGGGGGGAACAGGGTTATTTTGTCTGCCTCTTCCTACAGGGCTATCCCTTCTCTGGGACTAGGGTGACCAAAAATTCCAAAACACGTGTGTGTCCCAGCTGGTTCTGTTGAAAGTGGAGTGCGGAGAGCACCATGTTTCGTTTCATAAAGATTTCCTGCGTTGGGGATTTTGTAGAAGGCCCAGGAATAAACAGTCTTTAGCCATCTATGGCCCTTTTAACTCTTTCTACTGGCACATTCTCTGGATGTTTTAATTATATATTTGTATCATTTTATTTTATTACCTTATTTCCACCTCTAGATTTTGCTGCTTTATTTTTTTGCACTCCTTTCTCTCTCTTCCCCCCCCCCCCCCCCATCCTTGTTCTTCCTGACCACAGTTGGTTGAAAAACCAGGATTGTTTTTCCTAGGCGATTTTGGAAAAAAATTCTTTAGAAAACAAACAAAAATCCACTAAAATGTTAGTTTTTCAGTGAAAAAAATCAGTTTTCAAAAAGTTTAAACCGGAAAATGTTTTGGTTTCCCATTTAAAAAAAAATCAGTTTGATGTTTCATAAAAAGGACAATTTTAAAGAAATTTTCTGCAAAAAATTTTTCCTTTGAAAAGTCTCCCTCCCCCATGAATTTTTAGACCAGTTTTACTGCTAACTCTTCCCCATCTCCTTCAAACTGCCCTGGCACTCACCCCCACCCACTTTTCCTATGAATTTACTATACTTGCTCTCCTCTGTTCAACTGTCACTGCTTCACTCCCATTCCTTTGTTCATTCTCCCTGCAGTGCTGCAAACTCTAACCACTCTGACCTGCTGCTACAAGACTCCTGTCCCTCACTGCTGCATCCACCCCCAAAAGCCCCTTCTGCAACCCACCACATCCCATCCCTGTCCACTTCCCCCCATTCCACTGACCAGTTAAGGATACTTATACATAACCAGGAGAGCTGTCATTAATTTACTCACTGTTTTGGTGGGCGATGTGTGCAAATTGTGTAAATCACAATTGCAAAGTGTGTCATGCCTGGCCCATGTAGGGGATAAAATCCTACTGTTGCAACTAGCTAAAGGAGTTATTCTTTCAGCTCAACCAGTATAGGTCTGTGTTACTATGGTAAATGTCATGGGTTTGAAGCCAGGTGATGAACTGTGGTGTGTGTAATTTGTATATTTTAAGTCTTACAAAATGGCCTTTACCTTTGCTTTTATATGATAAGAGATTAGATTTTACTGGGACTGTTCACATACGTAAGAGTTATTCATATGCCTAAGTGCTTGCTTACTTGCTTTCTAACAAATAATGTGTAATAAAGTATATTACTGTAAATTCTCTCATATATAAGTATTATTACAGATACCTAGGTCTTTCATAATTTTCCCTCCAATTATTCATGGGGGAAAACACTAATGTCTTTTTGGTAATTTATTGATTTATAGATCCTCTTTCCCTGAACAGGTCTCTTTGCAAGGATTTTAAAACACCTTTCTCTCTCTTTTTTACATTGTAGTTTTCCTCACTATTTTAGCTGTATTTTTTTATTGTTTCTAGGGATGGCGCTATAAATAAGTCACTGGTTTAAGGGTTCTGGGCCATACACCAGATCCTGGAGGTTTCTCTCCTTAGGTAACATAGGCTTTTTGATTGGAGTCAAGGGATGGAAGGGCTTAGGTTGGTCCCCAGAAGGGAAAGGGTTTAGAACATAACATCACATGCTGTACATCGGTGACATGTCCAGTGATGCCATGTTCACTGACCTCATCATCCTTATCCTTAAAGGATTAGAAAATACGCCTTTTAGTGATTGAACTCCTTGAATCTATCTATTTAGCTTAACAAAGGGAACATTAAGGGGTGACTTGATCACTGCCTATAAATACCTATATGGGAAGCAAATGGACTCTTCAGTCTAGTGGACAAGAGTATAATGCAATCCTCTGGTTGGAAGTTGAAGCTAGACAAATTCAGATTAGAAATAAGGTGTACATTTTTAACAGTGTAGGTAAATAGCCCCTGGAACAGTTTACAAAGGGTCATGGTGGATTCTCCATCACTGACAATTTTTAAGTCAAGGTAGGAATTATTTTGCAGCAGTTCTCTGGCCTGTATTATCCAGGAGGCTAGATGATGATAAGGGTCACTTCTGGCCTTGGCATCTATGAGTCTCCCCTCAGTCTCTGATCTCCTCCAGCACTCTCATTTTGACATTTACTAGGGGGAAGATACTACTGAACTCACAGGAAACTTCCCTAAGCCCTCTCAGAGGCCTCCAACAACACGGGGGAACTGTCATGGGGTCATCTCACTGCTAGCTAGGGTGACCAGATGTTCCGATTTTATAGGTACAGTCCTGATTTTTCGGTCTTTTTCTTATATAGGCTCCTATTACCCCCACGCCCATCCCGATTTTTCACACTTGCTGTCTGGTCACCCTACCACTAGCACGCCTCCTCCTGGTCGCTCCGGGGATGAGCTGATTCCAGGTTCAATGCCTCCTTTCCTCCTCTCACCGCACACCCTGTCTTTTCTTCCTGGCTCTCAGCAAGGCAAGATGCTCTGTGTTCATGGCTTAGCCCTCTGGGCAAGTCACATGTGTTCTCCCCTTCCAGGGTGTCAAAATCTCTTCTTACAAAAGGTCTCAGGTAATCTTCCCATTCACTGCCCAGCTGGTGCCCCCTTCCCAGCGGCTGGTAGGGAACCTGGGCCCAAGCTCTACTCCCGGTTCCAGCTCAGGGACCTTCTAATCAGCAACCAAGGTCTGTTCCATTCTGGACCTTCCTGCCTTTTCCCTGAGCCTTTCTGAACCTTCTGGCTCCCCCAAAACTTCCTCCTGTCAGGGAGTAACTGGAGGCTGCTTTGACTCTGTAGTTCTTAAACACCCCTCCCTTCTCCCAAGGAGTGACTGCAGACTCCTTCACTCTAGCCCCCTCTCTCTGCACAATCATCCTGTCTTTATAAACTCAGCCCAGCACTTTCCTCCTCATCTGGGCTCCCTCATTATTCAGTCATGGGATTACTTATACCACCTGATTCCCTTCATCTGAGCCTGTCTGGTTAATTGGTCCCCTTCAGGGCAAGTGTGAAGTTAACACCTCATCACAGAAAGACCCCACCTAATATTTTTATTGCCTCCCCCCTCCCCCCAAGAAAAAAAAACCCCTCTCTAAAACAGTACAAAACAAAAACCTCCCTCCACTTCCAGGCTTTCTTTATCCCTCATAAAGAGGCAGTGTGGGGCTCAAGCCTAATTTAAAAAAAAAAAATCCTTGACAGGTCACGTTTAAGGCTGAAGGTTATTTTTTAAGGTCACTTTCAAAGCTGAAATAATTTCTTTGGAATTATTGCAGGAGCAGCTTCTGAGTCATCTGAGTCATTTTCAGCGTGTGAGAGACGAGCGAGGGAGACGGGTAGCTGCTGAAGAAGGGAAATATCAAACTCTACTGGTAAGTGTCCACTCTTCATACCGATCATTTAATAATGGCCAGTGTTAATAATAGTTAAGGCTAAGAGTTAGTCATGGGTATTTTTAATGAAAGTCATGGATAAGTCACGGGCAATAAACAAAAATTCACAGCCCGGGGTCACTGAGTCCAGTTCCTGCTGTCACAGGCAACCACCACGTTCATAAACTTATCAAGCTCCATCTTAATACTAGTTAGGGTGCTTGCCCCTGTGCTCCTATTAAAAGGCTGCTCCAGAATCTGCCTCCTCTGGTGGCTAGAAACCTAATTTCCAGCCTCAGTTTACTCATGGACAGTTTATCTCCATTTGTTCTGCACTCAGATGCAGTGAGGTGCTTGGGCTTGATTCTCATGCCATTCTGGCCATGTAAAGGAGCAGAAAGTCCCCCTGACTCAGAGTACTCCCTGTGCAGTGAGCCACACCAGTCATGTTCCCAGTCCCTAGAGTAGGGAGTGGATTAAGTGCATTGCTTTGCACCCTGGGCCCATGGGGCGTCACAGGAATAAGTGTAAATTAGAGCACTGGGGGAGGAAATTTCTTCCTTGTAGAAACCAACATGGCTTTTGATTCTGGATGCCTTAATTTCCAAGTATCCAGTTAGAGACAGCAAGGGCCTGAAAGCCCAAAATTTCACTGAAAGTCAATGAGAATGCTAATCAGCCCTGAAAGTCAGGCCTTTGGTCTCTCAAGTTGTCCCCCCCCCCCCCCCCCCAAAAAAAAAAAAGGTGAGATGGCTGAACTCAATAACCAAGTTTTTAAATTTTTGGTTCAAATGTCTTCCCTGGATTATTTCAGACCCCTAAATCTACATATCTGTAAAGCACCTAGCACAGTGGGGCTCAATCCCTGATTGAAGCCTTTAGCCACTACAATAATATATCAGAGGGGTAGCCGTGTTAGTCTGGATCTGTAAAAAGCAACAAAAAGTCCTGTGGCACCTTTAAGACTAACAGATGTATTGGAGCATAGTATCAGGGGGTAGCCGTGTTAGTCTGTATCTACAAAAACAACAAGGAGTCTGGTGGCACCTTAAAGACTAACAGATTTATTTGGGCATAATCTTTCATGGGTAAAAACCTCATCTGAAGAAGTGAGGTTTTTACCCACGAAAGCTTATGCCCAAATAAATCTGTCAGTCTTTAAGGTGCCACCAGACTCCTTGTTGTATTGGAGCATAAGCTTTCTGCATCTGACGAAGTGGGCGTTCACCCATGAAAGCTTATGCTCCAATACATCTGTTAGTCTTAAAGGTGCCACAGGACCCTCTGTTGCTTTTTACAATAATATAATTAGGCTTGGAATGATTCAGGTTTTTTGTTTTTGTTTTGTTGTTTGTTTTTTTTAATCATTTCAACAGATAACATCAGTTTACTTTTAAGGGTTTTTTTGTTTTTGTTTTTTAGATTTTTATCCGTTTAATTTTCACAGTTGCAGAAAATTATGGGGGGAGTCAGATAATTATTTAATGGCCGTAGATGTCGATATATAAAAAGTTAGTTTTAATACCTTTAAAACACAAATTGTCAAGCTCACATCAAAATATACAGTGTAAACATTTTTAAATCAAACTGTAAGTCCTCAAGCAGCATTTTTCTTACTTTGCCTATCTGTAAATTTCAGTTATTATGAATGGAAATATTTTGTTGGTTTATATGTGTAAGATGAAATTGACATTGAAAATCTAATTCTTCCAAACCTACATTTAAGTAAATAGGTAACACAAACCCAGCTGCACCCAAGTGGGGGGAATTCCCTGTGTGACAGCAAATTGCAAGGTGTGAATGGGACTGTTTAAAATGATTGTGATGAGAAAATCTCTCTGCTAACTTACATGTCCTCTTGTGGCTCCAAATGGTTTTTAGGTGTTAAATCCTGGATTTACACTCCTTCTTATTTAGGCTTCCAAATAAGTAAGCTATCTATGGTGCTTATATGGGCCCCATGTCCTTAGTACCTGAGCACCTCACAACACCCCAGGACAGTGCCATTATCTCCACTGTACAGAGAAGATAAGTGACGTTCCCAAGGTCACAGCGGAAGGCAGTGGCAGAGCAGGGAATTGACCCTAGATCTCTGTCTAATGACTTAACCACTGGACCATCCTTCCTCTCCAGTTTTCAAAACTCTGGGCACCAAAACATCTCCCATTAAAGTCAATGGGAGTTGCTGGGTGCTCAGCACTTTTGAAAAATCGTCTCTTAAGTGTCTAAAGTGGTTGAAAAATTTTCAGCAGAAGTTTTGCCATCAAAAAATGTGGTTTTGTCAAAACCAAAACACGTCAATTTAAATGAAATATGTCAATGGGTAAAAACCAAAATGTTTCATTTTGATAGTGTCACTTCCTTTTGACTTTTATATGCTATTAAAATATTAATATTATACAGATGTATCATGGGCTTTGTCTTCCACAGCAGACCGTAGGGGTGTGTCAGAGGCCTGCCCCCACCCTGTCTCCAGTCCTCAGTGCCCAGGCACCAGGGCCGGCTCCAGCATTTCTGCCTCCCCAAGCAAAAAAAAAAAAAAAAAGCCGCGGTTGTGATCGGCGGCGGCAATTGGGGGGGGGAAGCCGCAATCGGCGGCGGCAGTTCAGCGGCAGGTCCTTCGCTCCTAGAGGGAGTGAGGGACCTGCCGCCCCTGAATTGCCGCAGGTGCTGCCCCTCTCCCTTGGCCGCCCCAAGCACCTGCTTGTTAAGCTGGTGCCTGGAGCCGGCACTGCCAGGCACTCCGCACAGGCCCAGGAGTGGTAAACTCAGCCCTCCAGCTGAGTCTCATGAGAGTTTATCCCTTTCCCAAAAGAGGAACAACCTAACAAGGCAGCAGCAGGTTTCATTTCTTTCAAGGAGGCTCTGGCAAGTTGGAGTCCAGTTCAAAACCCTCAAGCAATTCACTGATAAGTCTTGTTTTAAAATTATCATTCCTTGCCTGGCCCACCTACTCTTCAGAGACTCAGAGAGGCAGCAGTCACATGAGCAATCTCAGCCCTTCTCTGGCAGCTGGGGTTTGGAGGCAAGTTTCCTTCCCAGGGCAGCTGCTGCTGCTAAGTGATGAACTGGGTTTCCCCTTCTAGGCCTGACACACCTTGCAGGTGTGACAAGATGGGTTGATTGAGCCCATATCAGTTCCTTAACCCCTTCCTGGCCAGTGCGGGGTTTGTACACCCATGACAATATTATGGTTAATGTTATGTATGTATAATATATGCACATACTATTTAAATAATATTAAAGTCAAAACAAAACACTTCAACCGACACTGTCAAAATGCATTTTTTCAGAATGTTTGTTTTGTGGGAAATTTTGGCTTTTTGCTCTTATTCAGAATGGATTTTTTTTTTTTTTTTTTTTTTAAATGTCAGAATTTCCCATGGAATGTAAATTACAGTTCCCAGCAACTCTACTAAGTATCAACTTAGTAGCCTAACTTTAATTTTTTATTTTGGATATCTTGGGACTAGTGATTTGGGGCCAGAATATAGGTATTTTAGAAAAAAATTACCTTCAGTGGAAGATGACTGCCAACTTCTTAAGTGCTTTTTGAATTCCCTCACTTTTGGATTTAGACTTCTAGAAAAATGTCACAGGTAGGCACCTTATGCTGAAAATTGTATTTAGACACCTCTAAGTGAGACTGGCTCCAAAATTTGACGTGTAAGGGCCATAGGGCTATGCAGATAATTCACTGGCTGAAGATCTGTCCTGCAGAGTTCTGCCCTGTGTTAACAGGGCTCAGTCACTCACAGCTGAAATGCAGTTGCTACTGGGGAAGGGACTTGGGAATCCTGTTTCATGTTATGTCACAGCCTTGTTTATATCTGTTTGCAACAGGAGAAGACAGAACGCCAGAAGCAGGAGATTGTGTCTGAATTTAAGCGAATGCACCAGATTTTGAAGCAGGGAGAACAACTCCTGCGGAACTGCCTGGAAGGCACAATACAGGATCTTGTGAATACGAGGAATAAAAATACCAACAGATGTTCTGGGGGGCTATTACTACTTGATAACCAGATAGCTGAGCTAAATCAGAAGTGCCAGCAGCCAGAGATTGAACTCCTCAAGGTAAGACAGGTCAAAAAAATTTCCAACAGTCCATGGGATTTAGGCTTCTAAGTACTTAAATCACTTTTGAAAATGAGATTTAGATCCCCAAATCAGTTGGGTGTTGCAATGCTGAACCTAGCAATGCCTAAATTCCTTTAAAATCTGGGCCTCAATCAATATGTCGGGCACTGCACAGACACACAGGGAGAGACAGTCCCTGCCCCAGCTGAGATCAGGGCCCCGTTGTGCCGGGCGCTGCACAGACACACAGGGAGAGACAGTCCCTGCCCCAGCTGAGATCAGGGCCCCGTTGTGCCGGGCGCTGCACAGACACAGTCCCTGCCCTGAAGATCTTACAGTGTAACTAGTAAAGGTCAGGTGCAGGGGACTGTTGAGGGAGTAAAATGTACAGAAGTGTGCAGACCTATCCAATGACCTGAAGTGTATAGGCCTTTGATTTCAGTGCAGCACAACTATTTACACTGCATCTGAATTTGACCCTTTTGTGTATTATGTATAGAACAAACGTGTCTGAAGTGCTCAGGTGCCATTGTATTCAGTGCAGTATAAAACTTTTGCTGGATATTTATATATTGCACCAAATTGTGCCTCCTTCCCTGCCTCCTCCCCCCGAGCAAATCTGATTCTATTCAACAGTCTCACACACTTACACACACACACGAGCTGGTTTGATTCCATACTGCATTCACACACACGCACACAGAGATACACTTCCTGCTGTTGTTATTCCCTGTTCTCTCTGTGAGCTTCACTGGCTCCCTTCCCTATCTCATCTATTAAAATAATCAGCAATGAAATAGTTAATGCTGACATCAAATTGTAATCATTAGGTTTCATGGTCAACAACCACTGAGATTAAAGAAAGGAGTTCTTCCCCCTCAGAGCTATTGTTTCAGGTTCTCTGTAGATCTCACTGCACTGTTCACACTTTTATCACCTTTAGACCGTGTGAGTTTTTCTGTTTTTTTGCATCCACAAAGTCTGTAAACGTACTTTTTCTTTCTTTCTAATCAAGGCTGAGATTCTGCAGTATCTGCATATGGCATGCAGGTCCCATTACTATATCAAGCAGACCAGATATTTGACAGCCATTCCGTAATCTGAGACAGACAGATTGAGATATTTTAGATAAATGGTAGAGATGGTTGAATTTTAAAAAGGGGGAAAGAGGAATGGAATCGTAATTTTTCACTTTTTAATTTTTAAATTCAAAATGTCAAATTTATTTCTCACCTGCTCCATGGTTGGTCAAACAAGAGGGGGGAAATCTGCAAAACTATTCAGTCAAAAATTTCCCATGTCATCCAAAGGTCAAAATCTAAAAAAACGCAATTATCTCTGACGTAACCAGCAATAATAATTAATAACAATACCTGGCTCTTATATAGAGCTTTTCATCAGTAGATCGCAAAGCACTTTCCAAAGGAAAGTTAATATCACTATTCCTATTTTACATATGGGAAAACTGAGGCACGGGGAGGTGACGTACCCAAGATCACCCAGCAGGGCACTGACAGAGCTGGGAAGAGAACAGAGCCACGCATGAAGTTTCCAAACATGCCCAACTTCCTATAGGGATCAAAAATAAAGGCAAATTGAGTCTTCTGCCTAAGAGAGATTTTGTGTTTGTGGCTGACGAGCTGAGTTTCTTTTTGTTTCCTTTTCCCTTTCTAGGACATTGACAGCACCTTAAGCAGGTATGTGTCGCCTTATTCAGCCTCACACTTCTTTACACTGGGAAAGGTTGCAAAGCCCAGCTGGAAATGTATAATGCCCCTCCCACCTCATCCTCCTAGTGGCTAAGAGAATGGAACAGGGAAAGCATCACAGGAACGTAAGAATTACCAGAGCAGATCAGACCAAAGGCCCATCTAGCCCGGTATCCCGTCTCTGATAATGGCCAGTGCCAGCTGCTTCACAGAGAGATGCAGGTCTTCCTCTGGGGCAGGTTATCCCATAACTGGTCACTAGCGGAAGTTCCCTCCCTAACTGCTAGAGATTGGCTTGTCCTCCAAAGTATGAATCCTAGGAATGAAGATGCTGCGTAGCTTGAATACTAGTCTTATGATATGGGACAACAGAGGTTAACAGTCTGCTCAGTGAAGATCATCATCTTGAGCAGCTACAATAGTGGTCCTGAACTGAGGACAGGAGGCCCAGGCGGGGGCTGAGCAAGGGGGCCCCAGGTGAGGACTCCTGGTGTTCCATGTTCCTTTTAATTCCCAAGTTTACATTGTTATACGTACTAAATAACATACCGGGCCAGCATGCTCAGAGCTTGTGCTAGCCCCCGTGTCCTGTCTTCCTGCTGAGTGGATTCAGCATTGCGACCGAGTATTCTGACAGGAACCTCGTTCTTTCTGCGTTAGGTGTGAGCAGGTGAAAGGTGAAGAGGAGGCACCTGTTGATTCTTTGACTGAACTGGAGAGCAGAGTGCAGACTCTCTCTGAAAGCCAGAAAGCTATATATTATCTACTGAAGAATTTCAGAGGTAAAATTGTAATGGTAATGTTACTACTACTAATAATAATTAATAAAAGGTAAGTATTCCCGATCAGTCTTTGAATTTTAAAATATTTGCGAGGGTGTTTCCCAGTAGTGATCACAAAAGAGTGTTTGATTCCCAGTCACTCTCAAGCACTTCTATAAAGCTTAAAGCGGCCTTTAATGGGGTAGAAATGGCCCTCTGAGAATCCCCAGCCAATGTGAAGCTGGTATACAGACTTTAGCCAGCCCCGCTCCTAGCCTCCAGAGCAGGGGGCAGATCGGGTGTGTCCAGAATGTACTCTGGCTATTCTCTGCTTCCCAGAGACCATGGGAGCAGACCATAGCCTAGAGCAGTGGTTCTCAATCAGGGGTACACAGAGGTCTTCCAGGGGGTACATCAACGCATCTAGATATTTTTGCCTAGTTTTACAACAGGCTACATAAAAAGTGCTAGCAAAGTCAGTACAAACTAAAATTTCATACGGCCCTGGGGCTGCTCTAATTACACCCAGGGGTGTATGTTGGAATTATTATTATTAATACAGGGTATCACCCATGCACCAATTTAGCCACAAATCCCTTTATTAACTCTAAAGGCCCAGTGTCATTTATACAACTGTTCCAAATGTGCCTTAAATGCTGAAGCAGTAACCACACCCCTATAGTAACATGCAGTGATCAGTATGGATCAGGTACTTCCACAGGACTAGACCTGACGTGCTTAACCCCATGTTGGCCAGCTCCAACAGTGGGCAGCAGATACTAGCAGTGAATCCTCCTAGAGCTTTTATGCCCTTTTTACTGGTGTCTCTTTAAGAATTCCTTTCTTTGTTTAAACCAGTTAGAACCACCCCTGATAATTGCGGCCTCTTCTCCAAAGTCCAATTTTCTCCAGGTCCAATTTTTCCAACGAAGCCACATCCTTTCAAGACCTCCCCACAGCTGCTAACAGGACCTGCTCTTTACCCAAACTGCAAAGCATATATTTTCTTTAGCCAGGGTATTTTAACCCTTTATATACCAATCTAATCCTACAGTGGGCTGCCCCTGGATAAACCCAAAATACCGAGAGTGCAAAGATAGCTTAATGCTCAGCCCCCTGTTTTCCCCTAAACACAGGAACAGAGCAACTGGCCCTCAGGAGCCGATATTAACAATATTATGCCACATAAATGAACTGAGCTTGAGCCCTTCCTTATTTATTAAACATTTATATTTTGGTAGCTCCTAGAGGCCAACCAGGTCAGGGACCCTTTGTGTCAATGACAGTCACTGCTCCAGAAATCTTACTGTTAAAATATTACGCCAGCTATGGTTCTGATTCTCAGTCTCTCTCTTTTTTTCCAGTGGAATTGGGTCCTCTTGAAAACCTCTCATCTGCTGTTAAGAGACAAGTGAGTTGTGAAGACCCAACGGAGGAGGTTCCCAACAACCCTAAACAAGATGATACTTCTGGTTTCCTGCTGAAGTGTGAGGTATTGTATTCTGTGGCAGTTCGGGGAGCTAGGTGCCAGGAATGGGCTTTAGTGGTTGTGGACTGAAGTCAGTGGAGCTACAGTGGTCTACACCAGCCAAGGATCTGTCCCTTTGAGTCCACTAGGGATGTCACTGATGTCAATCGATTTTGTGTGGAAGGTGATAAGGTACTACGTGGGGCCCTTGGAATCTAAATATGTCAATGAAATGTTTGAAGTAGGGCCGAGTGAAAGTCAGTATTTCTGTTTGATAGTTCCACATTTGTTTTCATCTTGGATCAAGACGAAAAGTCAAAATATCAAAATCTTTTCACCGAATGGAAAGTTCTGAAAATTGTTTATTTGGAAATGTCTAAACATTTCATTTCTGGTCAGTTTTGACATTAAACTGCATCTGCCCTTGATGACTGCAGTGCCTCATGGGAACTGTAGTTTGGGTGCTTCACGCCCCCATTCTTTCTTATGGGCCTGGTCTACTTTTTGGACTACATCTCATGATGCACCATATGGCTCAGTCAAAGGGGGGAATGCAATGCATCATGGGAGATGTAGTCCAACCAAGGTGCCTGGCCCATAGGAGAGAACGTGGGCTTGAGGCATCTGAACTACAGCTCCCATGAGGCATCAGAGCACATTAGGCAGATACAGTTTAATGTCAAGCAGACTTGAAACAATGTTTTGATTCATTTCACCAAACTGAAGTGTTTCAAGTTGGGTCAGACCAAACCAAACCAAAATATTTCATTTTGATTTCCCAATAGAAAATAAAAACTTTCACCAAAATTGAAATATAATATAGATGAAAATTCCCTACCAAAACATGTATAGTTTCTTGTAACAATCGACCTGTGGATAGAGATGCAGATCACAAGGGATCTCCATAGAGTGACTTGTTTTCTTTCCCTTCTAGGAAGGCAAACTCAACTCAGCTCGGTAAGTGTCTTCTTCTCTCCGTCACACTCGTACTTCGCTACAGGGCAGATCCAATGCTCATTGAAGTCCATGTGAGAAATCAGTGAGCTGTGGGTGAGCCCTATGTTGGAAAGAGGGGTTAGGAATTGATTGAAGATAGGACTGCTCCAACACAGTGGCTAAAAGGGTCAATCCATAGGGTCTTACAAACTCTATAAATCATAGCTCATCCATGCTTCCTGTACCAAACCTGGACAATTCAGGTTCATTCCCTATAGTCTGTTCTCCAGGACTTTGTCCAGTTGGATTTCTGCAATGGGGCTCTGATCCGTTCACCTGGCGAGATAATTCCATAGTTTAAAAGATTCCTCATCAACCTGCCAGGAATTCCCATCTCACCACATGCACTTTTCTGTTACTTGTATACTCCCTATTCTTAAACAATACCTCTATGCCATGATGTATAGAATCACAGTCCTTCTTAAATAGGAAGAATGTATTAAACAGCCACAACTATAGACTCACACAGGCTTGAGTTCCAGCTTTGTCTTCCTTGTTTACCCATGTACATCACAAAAGAGACATCTGAATAATAATACTCATTATTGATGTTCCATGCCTGTTAGTGGAACTGTGTTCTGTAGGGCTAACAGGAGTAAGATGCAATGCAAATTTATTTTAGCCATTGAAATGAACAGCTCTGACTCTGGTACGTCCAAGGAACAGACTTTTTATGAGAGAGAATTTTACAACATCACTTTTCAAAGTAGAGAAGCACCATTATTCTAGTTCAATAACTTATGTCTAGAGCTGGTTGAAATATGGAATTTCCAAACTGTGGGGAATTCTGAGATTTCAAAATTTGTCTTTGTTCCAAATTGGAATGAAAAGTTTAAATTTAAAAATTTACTGTGACAGAAAATGTCTGAGATATTTCATTTTGGAAATATCAAAACAACCTTATTGAAAAGAAACATTTCAGTAAGGACAGAATATTTTCTCTAGACTTTAGCATGTATATAACATAACATAATGTGAATTATTTTCTAACTGTAAGGGTAATTAAGGTCTGAAATAGGCTTCTAAGGGAGGCTGTGGAATCCCCATCATTGGAGGTTTTTAAGAACAGGTTGGACAGGGATGGTCTAGGTTTACTTGGTCCTGCTTCAACACATGGGGATGGACTACATGACCTCTTGGGATTCCTTCCAGCCCTACATTTCTGTGATTCTGCAATATATTATATTATAAACAAAATGCAAAATTTCAATCAGTTCCATAGAAAATTTTGACAAAATCAACACAGTCCTGGGAAACATTTTGATTTTGTAGGATCAGCATTTTCCGATTGTTCAGTTGGAAAATGTTTGACCAATTCTACTTATGTCCCTTCCGTGTACTGCTGAGTCTTGCTGGGCGCACAACTGGCCTTAACCTTTTGGAGTGAACAGTTTCTCAGCATTTGCTTTGACTGCATGAAACAATGTAGATCTGGTTGAAAAATTGGGGGTGTGTGGGTGGGGATTTCTCTGGTTTTGGGTTGTTGTGTTTTTGGTCCAGATTCCAAGCAAAGTTTTCATCAAGACTTTAAAATATTTTGACCAGCTTTAAATGTATTCAAAAATTGGGTGAAATCAACAAAAATTTCGTCAATTATCCCCCGCCCATATGCGCACACACACTTTGTCACAATTTGAATTCTCAATCAGCTCTCACACTATAACAGATAACTGTAATGTATCAATATATTTTTTTTCTCTCTACAGTTGTGAGGAGCAAGAAGTTGTTCCCACTGATGGACAGAATAATTTAACTGACTTCATAAATGTTGAGCCGAAGGAAGCCAGAGGTAAAGGATGATCTTTGGGGTAGTTTGGTACTAAATTGTTATGCAGAAAGCTGCTAATGGCTTCCATCAAGTGTGTCTTTGGATCAGACAATCACAGAGCTCGTTCCGCACTCTGCTCCTGTTGAACCTGAAGGAATCAAGTCCCTTTATTTAGTAAAGAGAGATGCTGATAATTGTAGGCACTGCCCATGGGATTAGGCACATGTGCACTGCTGGGTTGTGTGGGCTGAGGGCTTCCCTGGTTGCAAACGCAAGGGCTAGCAAGCATATCGGTTGCAGCCTGGGTGCACTGGAAGCAGGAAGTTTGGAGAAGTGAGAGTGACCCTGAGAGGAAGCAGAGAGACAGAGCTTTTTGGGCACAGAGCTGGCTGGAGGGGCAGACATGGGGATTTCTGAGCAAGGGAAAGGCCTGCTGCTGTTTGTTGCTATAGTGTTTGGGGAGATAGGACTGTGGGAGCCTTCTTTGTAAATAGACACGGTTAATTAGCTCTTATCTAGTGCGTACAAAGGAGGTCATTATGTGATTTTATAGATGGGGAAACTGAGGCGCCGAGTTTTGAAGTGACTTGTCCAAGGTCACTTGGCAGGCCAGTATAGGGTGATTAGATGTTCCGATTTTATTGGGACTGTCCCAATATTAGGGGCTTTGTCTTCCATAAGACACTATTACTCTTCATGCCCAGTCCCAATTTTACATTCTTGCTATCTGGTCACCCTAGGCCAGTAGCAGATCCAAGAATTGAACCCAGGTGGCTTGGGTGCTAGTCCAGGGCTCTCTCCAATAAGCCACACTCATTACACAAAGAGTGTGTCTGACTTGTATCATTGAATTCTCCTCCTAATGGAAACATCACTCCAAGCCCACGAATATTGGTATATCGCTCGGGCCAAAGGAGCAACTATATTTACTCATGTCGAATAAGAACTAAGGGGAGAGCAATTAGCAATTAAATTCAGTATCTCCTTCCCCATAGGCAGGGCCTATCAGCTCCCCCTCTTCACTAACAGCTGGGTCAGGAGAGGCTGATCTGTGCACAAATAGCTAAATATGTGCTTAACAAATTTTTGTTTTAGCTGCTGAATATTCAGTGTCTGAGCCTGTTCCAAACATTTCATTGACAAATGTCAGTGGTGCCTTAAATCTGCTTGACAACAAACTGGTGGTGCACCGTATTCCAGGTAAGCCCCTTTCTTCTGTATATTTCACAGTTTTAATGATTTATTTTGTTTTATTATAATTACTTCCCTCCACACACTAGTCATCAGTGGGTTTTGAACTTAGTGCTGAAGATTCTAAGGCCACAGTCCAGCAAAGCACTGAGGCACATGCATAACATTTGGCTTGGCAGAATTTGATTTTTATTTTTTTTTATAATCGTGATGGATGATATTGAGTATTTGTAAGTATTTTTTTTTAATTATCAATTTAAATTTTCATGGTTGTGGGAAATTATGGGGCAGTCAGACAATTATTGAGTGACAGTAGATGTTGAAACCAGAGGCAACATGTAACTGTTAATAGTGTGTGGAGGGGGCACAATTTAAAAGTTGGGGGTCACGTGACCACCCCACATGTCGCCTCTGTTGCCCTTTAGATGCTCCCCTCCTCGCTGTCCCCTCCCCCAGCTCTCCCTCTCGCTGCTTTGCCCTTCATCCCTCCCCAGCCCTGCTGCTCCTCCATATCCCCCCCCCCAAGGTGGCACGTCCCATTCCCAGCGCTGTGCAGAGATCCAGACGCTGAGGGGAGCGCTTAGCACACCTGCAGCCTGGCCGGTGGGCTCTTTCCTCCCCCGCTGCCTCTGGCCAGGCCGGCACCCTAGGAAAGCCCAAGACCCTCCTGCATGGGGCGTGGCCCAGGAGGAGCCCAGCCCTGTGTGTGCCAAAGCTGCCTAGAGCCCCATGCAGCATGGGGGAGCCTCTCTGCCCCTCAGATAAGCACTGCAGTGGAGGGGCAGGGAAGAGATTTCCAGCTCATTCCCACCCCGAACTCTCAGGTTCTGCGGCAGCCCCTGAGGCCGAGGCTTAGCGCCCTCTTGGCCCCCTCCCCCGCTGCCCCAGATCCTGCCACGTTTCTAAAAGTTGGTACTGTAGAACCTCAGAGTTGCAGACACCGCAGGAATGGAGGTTGTCCGTAACCCTGAAATGTTCATAACTCTGAACAAAGCACAGTTCGGGCTCCAGATCAAGCAGCTGACACTCCAGGCCAGGCCTCAGCAGCAAATGAGCTCCCTCCTCAGCTCTGGCAGCTTCCTTGGAGGCAACTACTTTCCCTGGGTTGGACTCAGTTTGCAAGCTTGTCCCACTCGTGTGTGCGCATGTGTGTAAACAGCATGTCCTCCCAGCAGGGGGGAGAGAAGGGGTGAAAGCGGCATAGACCCCAGCGCTGCTGCTCTGTATTTACTTCTTAGCTGTACGTGGCTGCCCCCTGGGTGGGGTGGGGTGGGGACAGGCAGCCCAGATGTGCCTACCTTTAAGATGCAGTACTACAGGCACAGTACAGTATTTGCCTTTTTTTTTTTTTTTTTTTTTTTTTTTTTTTTTTTTTTTTTTTTTT